AATGAAAGCAATATATTTACAAAGGCCCCCTCAATCAATATAAAATGCACTTAATTTGTTAATAACTGACATGCTCTCTGGTGCCCCAGGAAAAGAATTGTAAGAGAAGATTTACTGGGTTTTTTGGTTTTTTTGTTGTTTTGTTTTATTAGCTATACTAAACATGCCTAGTTCCTTTCAAAGATCGAATTTCAAACCCATTTAAGAGTGTTAAAATCATCATAAATGTCAGCAGAGCTTCAAGAAGGTTTAGTAGACCTGTCTTAAGCTTAATGAACACGTTGTCATCAAGATTAATTCCTAGCTATATATTTCCACAGTGGAGTTTCACAAGTCTCCTTTCAAAGTTGGTCTGCTTAGAGAAAGTTTCATGTTTCTGATATGATTCTTCCTTTCTAGAAACAAGCCAATGACCTTGTGAGCACCCTGATGAAATGTACACCCCACTACATTCGCTGCATAAAACCAAATGAAACCAAGAAGCCCAGAGACTGGGAGGAGAGCAGGTACGGTGCAGATGGGGAGGTCGAAGCTGGCTTAAGTGGGCACCTCTGTATTTTTTCCTCTGCTCCAGATGAGCCATCCTGTACCACAGACAGGAGCAGTTTCATTTGCCCACACATGTGTTTGTCACATCCCTGTCTTAACTTTTTCAGGATGAAGCCTGTATATTTTTCCCCTCCTTGTCTTTTCCTAAAATGTTAGCAGTGCCATTCAGCTCAGAATTAGCAATTTATAATGTTGATCTTGGCTAGTCTGGGAGCAGATGGAAAAAACAAAACAAAACCTTAATACCGCAGAGTCATGATGGTTTTAAAATTTGTTTGAGGCTCTGTGTAGACATTCTTAGTACGCTCGGCTCCTGGTCAGCACCCACAGGATGTGGCCTAGAATGCTTAGCTCGGGGTTGAAAGTGAAGGGCTGAGGAGCGGGTTGAAAAGCAATCTGTCATTTACTGTCACTCGGGAAGATACTGAGGACATGCTGGAGGTTCTGCAGTTCCCCTTAGGCACTGTGTTGAAGAGCAGAGTGACCATCTGGGAGGGGAGAGGCCAAAGGGAAACACGGAGCACAAGTCTTCCGTGCGCCCTGTGCCCTGACTTCTGTTCCTCCTACAGCTGGCGTGTAGGGAGGCAGCCTATGCAGGACGAAGTGGAGGTGTAGAGTTGGAAAATGCTAAGGTGATGACTAGAGGATATAATTTTTTATCCAGCAGGGGGATCCAAAGACACATTCCTCAGGGCCTGGTGTCACTGATCATAGGAACATGGGAATGAGGGCTGAGGAGAGACCTCGGGGCTGGTCACTTTAACTACAGAGAGGACCCCAGTTATCATCACTAAATAGTCAAGTCCCGGGATATGAATGTACCAGAATTGCTACCTCTTTTCTTGTCTCTTGGAGAAAAGAAGATAGACTCTTAGGTATCAAGTGACTTAAATCAAGGTTTAACTTCAGCAGGAAAACCAGGATTTAAAT